GGGCGGGGGGGCGGCGGGGGAAAGTTCCTTTCTTAAACTACTTATAATTATAAATTCTTTCACTAGTCATTATTATAATTAAGATGCATAGAGAATCATAAACCTAGTATTTTATGAGTATAAGATTATTAACACCAACTTAAATTTATTGTCATATATTTTATAATCAGTTATACTGACAAATTATTTCAATATATTATGTAGATCACCAAAAAAATAGTCTTTTAATTTAGCTTAAATTAAGTCACATCCTTTGGTCAAGAATTTTGAACCTCTTTGAGTTTTTTTATTTTTATTTTTTTTTTGGGGAGGGGGGAAGGGGGTTAAAACCCCAAATGGTCACTGGACTTTGCCTGAAATCTCTTAGGAGGTCAACGAACTTCAAAACATCCCTAAGTAGTCATCGAACTTTGTCTGAAGTTCCCCAAGAGGTCATCGAATTTCGAAACGTCTTTAAATGGTCACTGAATTTTGTAAAAAGTTCCTAAGAGGTCACTGAAATTTGTAAATTGGCAAAGATGAATGGGGTCCCAATTTGCAAATTTCAGTGACTCCCTAAGAACATTTTGCAAAGTTTACCGATTATTTAGGAACGTTTTGAAGTTCGGTGATCTTTTGGAGGACTTCAAGCTAAGTTTAGTGGCTATTTAGGGATGTTTTGAAGTTCGATGACCTTTTTGGGGACTTTGGACAAAGTTCAGTGACCATTTGGGGTTTTTCTCGGGGGAAGGGACATGTGTTTACATAGTAGTCAGACCCTTCTAAGTCCTAACATGCTATTTGGGTATTTGGACTTCTTGTAAAAGTGAGGACTTTGATTCAAACGCCATCATCTATATACGTCATTTTCACAGTAATGCAATAATTATTTTGACCGAGAGTAAGAAGAGTGAGAAAAAATTTATTCTTGAAAAACTAATTTCTGAAAACATTCAATAATATTAATTTTTTCTAGTCTTAGGCCAAACATGCTCTTAATCCTAGGATAACCCAAAACTTAATTAATCAAGAACATGAGAGGCATGGAAATTGCAATTATTCCTTAGTCCACACTCTCCAATTGCTACCTTTAAGTACTACTATTGTTCTTTGTATCATAATTTCACTCAATTAACCAAGCAGAGCCTTTAAACTTCTGGCTTTTTTTTAAACCCACCATAGAATAAACCAGACAAAAGAGCGTGTGATGTTTGGCTAAGACAATTGAGGCCATTGATGGACATCTTTCATGACAAGACTTGGTGGGGAACTTTGTTTTTGGTTGGTTGTTGAATTATAGAGGGAAAAAAAAAAAAAAACAAAGGATTCATTGATTTTGTTTTTTAATCCAAATTAGTATTTCTTTCATAAATCAATTATTTGTTGATCAAGAATCAAATTTTTGACATTTCTACACGAATCAATGAGTCTTGGAATGTCAAATATTTGATACCCTCGTGAAGAATAAATTTAGGGGTGGACAAAATGTTCAAATCAAATCATGACCAAATCAAATAGAGTAGATAAATTCAATTCTACGAAAAAAATTAATAGTTTTAGTTCTTCAAATCGAGAACCATTTTGGCTATGGTTCTAATTTAGTTCTAGAACCAGAACCATACTTAAATTTTAATTTTATTATATATAGTTTAGTGATGATTCTAATTTTGTATTCATTGAAAATGGCCCATAATTGGTTGTTTGTCCTTGGAGACATCCCATTAATTCTATATACCTTAAATTTGTATTCGTTGAAATCATATCTCTTTCACTCATTTTTTAATTTACACAGCATTGGCACACGTCAGCACCACATTTCATCACGTCTGTGGAGGAAACTCTTTTAAGATTGGAAAATGAAAGTGATCAATTACTTCAAAAGCCTTTAAATTATTTTTCTACCTTGATTGTTTGATGAATTATTTGTGTTCTTCACAAATAGAGGAAAATACAATAAACATCCATGTAGTATTAAACGATTAATGGTTGCCTGTAAAAGTTTTGCATAATTCATCCTTTATCGTGAGGGTGTGTCTTCAAAGCTACGGTAATTAATTTACTTAATCATTGTTATTACTTATTATTAGATAATCTTTTATATGGAAATGAAAATTCATTTGTGTATTCAAATTATGCTTATAATTTGTTTATTAGTTTGAATTTTTGTGATATTGTTGATTGATATTTGATAATTTGAAATTTTTTTTTTTTGATATATATTACTAACTTATATATATACATACCGTGCAAGTCTGAAAATTTTAAGAATGAAATTAAACCAAACAAGGCCAAATCAAACCTAAAATGGAAGATTCAAATCCAGTTCGGTTCCATAT